TTTTGATTTTTTTTTTAAGATTTTATTTATTTATTTGACACAGAGAGAGAGAGAGAGAGAGAGAGAGAGAGAGAGAGAGCGCACAAGCAGGGGGAGTGGGAGAGGGAGAAGCAGGCTTCCCGCTGAGCAGGGAGCCCGATGCGGGGCTCGATCCCAGGACCCTGGGATCATGACCTGAGCCGAAGGCAGACGCTTAATGACAGAGCCACCCAGGTGCCCCTACTTAGATTCTTCTGATGAGATTGGAAGTGATATTAACAAATGTGATATTTTGATAGCATAGGATGAAAAACGTCAGCAGTTGGAAGATCAGCATAACTCAGTGAACCAATATTTCCAGTTGACCACTGTGGGTTGTTAAAATCGTGCGTACTTTAAAAGATTCACTCAAAGTGCAACATGGACCAATAGATTTTTCTGCTTTAAAAAAATTTTAATAGCTTGTCTGAGGTATAATTTACTCATAAGAAGCTACGCATTTTTACACATGAATACACACACGAAACTGTTACAACAATCAAGATAATTAACATGAGCATAGCTCCCTGCAGTTTTCTTGTACTCCTTTGCAATCTCTCCCTTCTGCCCCTCTCAGCCCTCCGCCCCAATTTTCGTATTCCAGACTACCACTGACTTCTTTTTCCTCCCTAAAGATTAGTTTTCATGTCCTAAAATTTCATATAAATGGGATCATATAGTATGTACTATTTTTTGCCCAATTTCTGTCACTGATCATAGTTATTTTGAGATTAATCCATGTTGCATTGTATCAATAGTTAATTTCTTTTTATTCTGAGTAATATTCTATTGTATGGATATATCGTGAATTATTTATTCATTTACCTGTTGACAGACATCTGTGTTGTTTCCAGTTTTTGCTTATTATGAACACAATTGCTATGAACATTTGTGTACAAGTCTTTGGGTAAACATACGCTTTCATTTTTTTTAAACGATTTTTATTTATTCATTTGACGGAGAGAGAGAGCACAGGCAAGGGGAGCAGCAGACAGAAGGAGAGGGAGAAGCAGACTCCCGGCTGAGCAGGGAGCCCAGATGTGGGGCTCTATTGCAGGACCCTGGGATCATGACATGAGCTGAAGGCTTCACCAACTGAGCCACCCAGGTACCCCTATGCTTTCATTTCTTTTGGATAAATACCTAGGAGTGTAATGTCTGGGTCACATGTAAATATATGTTTAACTTTTTAAGAAATTGCCAAAGCATTTTCCAAAGAGGTCGTACCATTTCACATTCCCATCAGTGGTTATGAGAGTTCCTTTTTTTAAAAAAATTATTTTTTTTAAGATTTTATTTATTTGCCAGAGAGAGAGAGAGAGAGTGAGCGAGCGTGTGTGTACAAGCAGGGGAAACGGCAGGCAGAGGGAGAAGCAGGCTCCGATGTGGAACTCAACCCCAAGACTCTGTGATCATGACCTGAGCTGAAGGCAGATGCTTAATGGACTGAGCTACCCAGGCATCCCATGGTTATGAGAATTCCAATCACGCCACATTCTCAACAATAGTTGGTATGGCTAGTCTTTTTAATTTTACCATTAAGTAAGTAGGTAGTGATATTTCATTGTGGTTTTAATTTGTATTTTCTCTAATGACTCAATGTTGAGTATCTTTTCATGTGCTTATTTTCCATTCATATGACTTCTTTGGTGAAGTGTCTATTCAAACTTTATGCCTATTTGTCTGCTGGGTTGTTTAATTTCTTCCTGTTGAGGCATGAGTTTTTGGGTTTTGGTTTTGTGTCTATGTGTGTGTGTTTTTCTGTGTTTATTGAGGTATGAGAGATTTAAAAAGTATATTTTCTGGATATAAGTTCTTTATTAGATATGTGATTTGCTAATACTTTCTTCAGTTTTTGGCTATTCTTCTCATTTCCTTAGTTATCTGAAAAGAAATACTTAATTTTGATTAAGTTCAATTTATTACTTTTGTCTTTTAAGGATAGTGCTTTAGGTATCAGACCCAAGAAATTTTGGTCTAGCCTAAGGTCACAGATGTTTTTTCATTTTCTTCTAGAAGTTTTAAGTTTTATGTTTAGATCTATGATCCACTTTGTGTTTTCATTCATTCATTCATGCCTATGAATACCCAAATGTTTCAGCATTATTAGTGAAAAATCTTTCTTTTCTCCACTGAATTGTCTTTGTCCTCTGTTGAAATGAACAACCTTGGCACTTTTAAAAAATTCTCTATTCAGTTTTGTCAATCTTTTTTTCTCTCTTTACACCAATACTATACTACCTGGCTTAATGTGGCTTTATAGCAAATATTGAAATCAGGTGGTGTAGTGTAATTTCTTCAAGTTTGTTCTTCAGTCTCAAAGTTATTTTGGTTGTTCTAGGTCCTTTGCATCTCCATATAAATTTTAGAATCCTTTTGTCAATTACTAAAAAAAAAAGCCTGCTGGGATTTTTGATTGAGATTGTTTTGAATCTACAGATTAATTTGTGGGAGAATTGACATTTTTACAGTTTTGAGTCTTCTGAACCATGAACATGGTATATTTTCTGTTTGTGTCTTCTTTTTTTAAAAGATTTATTTATTTTAGAGAGTGCTTGCACATTTACGAGTCGGGGGAGGGGCAGAGGGAGAGAATCCTCAAGCAGACTCCCCTCAGAGCCGATTCAAGACCATCATCAAGACTACAGGATATAAAAATCAATATACAGAAGTCAGTTGTATTTGTCTTCTACTAACAATGCACAGTCTGAAATTGAAATTTAAAATACCATTTAAAATAGCATCAAAAATATGAACTAGGTCAGGATAAGTTTGATAAAAGATATTCAAGTTGTACACTGAAAATATTAAATATGCTGAGATAAATTTAAGAAGACACAAACACGTGGGGCACCAGGATGGCTCAGTTAGTTAAGCGTGCGATTCTTGGTTTGGCTGTCATGATCTCAGGGTCACCAGATCCAGCCCCAGGTTGGTTCCATGCTCAGCGTGAAGTCGGCTTGTGATTCTCTCCCTCTTCCTCTGCCCCTCCCTCTGCTCCCATGCATGCGTGTGGAAGCTCTCTCAAATAATCTTAAAAAAAAAAAAAAAAAAAAAAATATATATATATATATATATATATATCTCGTCAACACTACAAACAAGAAAGCTGAGTGGCTATATTGCCATCAGACAAAGTACACTTTATTTTTTTCAAAGTACACTTTAGAGCAAAAAGTATTACCAAGAGAAAAGAGGTTTTATAAAGTGGATCATTTATAAAAGGGATCATTTCATAATGATAAAATACTTTTCATAGTCAGTTTCATTATGGATAAATTCATCTAAATAACAAAAATTATAAATGCAAAAAAGTTTATGCAACTAACAGCTGAGTTCAAAATACATGAAAACTGATAGAACAAGCAGAATTAGAAGAACCAATTATAGTTAGTTCAATACTCCTCTCTTAATACTTAATAGGATAAGTAGACAGAAAATCAGTATATTTTAAGTCCCCCAGGATTTAGATTTGAACAATATCAACAAACTTGATGTGATTGACGTTTGTAGAACATTTCACCCAACAACTGTTGAATACACATTCATCTCAAACGCATACTGAATATTTATCAAGACAGACCATATTCTGGGTCACAGAATAAGTCTCAATAAATTGAAAATGATTCAAATTATGCAAACTATGTTATCTGATTATAATGGAATTAAATCAGAAATCAGCGACAGGAAGATGCTGGAAAATTCAATTTTTGTAGACTACATAACACACTAATAACCCATGGCTCAAAAAAAAAAAAATCTCTGGCGAAATTAGAAAGCATTTTGAAATGAAGGAAAATGAAAACATATTAGAATGTATGAGATGGGGCGCCTGGGTGGCTCAGTTGGTTAAGCGACTGCCTTCGGCTCAGGTCATGATCCTGGAGTCCCGGGATCGAGTCCCGCATCGGGCTCCCTGCTTGGCAGGGAGTCTGCTTCTCCCTCTGACCCTCGCCCCTCTCATGAGCGCTCTCTCTCTCAAATAAGTAAATAAAAAATCTTAAAAAAAAAAAAGCGTGAGATGTAAAGAAATACTCCGAGGGACACATCCCACCCAATGCCTATATTACAAAAGAAGAAACATCTATAATCAGTGATCTCGGTTTCTAAGTTAAAAAACTAGCAAATAATGAAAAAACACTTTAAAAATTAAGAAAAAAAAGTAGAAGAAAGGAAATAAACCTAAGAGCAGAAATCAATAAAATAGGAAACAAAAACAATAAAGAAAACCTATGAAAGCAGAAGAGAGCTTTGAGGGATTTGAGATCAGTAAAGTTGATAAGCCTCTCGCCAGAACGATCAGGAAAAAATAAAGACACAAATTACCAATTTCAGAAATGAGAAATTCTTCTGTAGGTTTTAAAAGGAAAATAATACTGTTAAAAGGCATTAACAAATCCCAACAACTTAGATATTTTCATAACCATTAAAGCTCACTCCAGAACAAATATTAAATATTTGAATTCGGCAATGTTAGATACTATTAAAAGCAGGGTGCTGAGTCCAGGCTTCAGAGACAAATACGGCATTTTCTACCGCAAGCGGCTTTCATTTTACTGGAGGAGTAAAAAACCAAAACAAAACAAAGCTTAATACAGATCCGGTGCTGAGGAGTGAGGGAAAACTGGGTCAGGGAAAGCTTCTCTGGGGAGGAGTCATTCAGCTGAGACCAGACGAAGCCGTAAAATATGCGTATCAGAAAAAGAGCCGCTGTGCGTCCTATCAGGTTGGTGGCTCAGAGAAGCCCTCCGCGACCGGGCCTCTGCCGAACGCCTAGACCTCCCTGTCTCAGAGGAGTCCCATCTCTTTCCCGACTCGCGCTCACCGGCGTTAGGCGACCACCTCCGGCCAAACCGGGACTGCAGCAGTGTGCGCCTGCGCACTCAAGCAAAGTTCTCGCCGGAGCGGGCGAGGCGACTGCCGGAAGTGTGACCTCTCGCTCCCTGCTCGCTCTTCCCATCCGGGGTCGTGGCGGTCTTCCGGGTGTTCCTGACAGGGTTTTCTACGCCGTTTTTTTTGGCGACTTTTTGGTCTTCCGCTTCTTGCTACCGCCCCGAGCCTCCCGCACGCTTGCTAGCCCTGTCTTTTCTTGTGTGGCTCCTCCCCGGCCGCCGAGCCCGGGGTTTAGACTGCAGTCGGGATCCGGAGCCAGGCCTAGCCCTTCCGCAGGCCACTACCTGCTTTGGCTGGGGCGAGAGCTACAGCCGTGCGCGCCGGACCCTCGCTGCTCGGGCCTTGGAGCTCCTGGGCGGGCAGTGCCGGTAGGCCCTGCTTAGCCCTTCCCCAAGGCCACCTGTGAGTTAGGGGGTTTCGGAAAAGGACGCAACCGTGTAGGCCCAGGTCGGGGGCGGGGCTCGGGGAACTTTTCCTGAAACCGCACTGTTATGTTTGCGTGGAAAGTTCCGGCAAGATTTCTTAGATGTCCCAGACTTATGGGCGGCCCCCAGGCTGCAGCACTTTCTGAAGAATCTTAGGACCGCTTACTTTTTCCACTCGTTTCCCTTCTTCGCGCCCCGTTCTCAGTCTAGGACCATAAGAGGAAGACTGTCTTGGGACCCCTGCATGGTGTTTCAAACGGTGGTGAAAAACTAAGGTAAGTATCTGGATTAATAATTTAAAATTTAAGACTTTTAATTAAATGGGCTTCAGTTCTTCATTTTACAGTAAAGTGCACAGTTCAGGACTCTGTCGGATTGTTGTTCCCTTTTCTTCCCGTTAAGCCTTTGTACTCAGACTCCTCATCTCTCTAGGCCAGAACACGATGGGGTTTATGTGTCTCATAATATCTGGAATATCCAAATACCCCGTCTTGTTTTCTCTCTTTTAGCTCTTTGTTTAAATAGTAGTTCTTTATTTAGATTGCGGATACCAGTAGGAAACAAAGAGAAACTGTAAAAAGCTAAATCGGAATTTGTTAACAGATATGTGGTATGTGATTTTGTGAGGAAAGATCATAACTGAACACTAAATATGTGTTTGTATTACCGGTAACATACTATTTTTGTAAATACTGCCTTGTATGGTATTTTACTACAGGTATTTAATATGTACAGCCAAAAGGCTCATAGTAGCTAGCTAATAATGGTAATATTATTTTGTTGGTGCGTTAGCCCCAATGATGTCTAATTTGGAAATGCTCCATAATATAGGCTTTATGTGAAACAGGCCATTTATCAATCATTTAAGAAATGTCCGTTTCAAACCACATGACAACATTATTTTTTAACTCTTGGATGGAATCTAATTCTTAATAAAAAGGAATGTCCTTTTCAAAACCTCCAGGTAGTTTTGACAGTGGATGAGCAGGATTTAGGAACTGGGCTTTTTGCACGGTGGAGAAAAGAAGTGAGTTTAGGATATCAAAGGCTTTTGGACAAAGTGGACAGATAACTTGATTTAGTTGCCACAGTTCTGTCTTTTGGCTTTTATCCTAGGGAGATTCTGCTTTCCAGGAAATCTAGTTGAAGGAATTATGTAATCTCGAAAGTTCTCTAATTGGTTGGAGGAGAGATCAAGTTTAGGACAGAAATTCCAGGTTGTGAGTTACAGGAGCAAATACTGTATCAGTAGGAATTACTTTGTAAACTACGCTTATACAGCCTTGTCTCTCATGTATGATTATTTACAAATAAACCTGTATAATATCCCATCGTGTCAACCTTAGTCAAGAAGCAGATTTTTTCCTTAAAGGGCGCCTGGGTGGCTCAGTTGGTTAAGCGACTGCCTTCGGCTCAGGTCATGATCCTGGAGTCCCGGGATCGAATCCCGCATCGGGCTCCCTGCTCGGCGGGGAGCCTGCTTCTCCCTCTGACCCTCTCCCCTCTCATGTGCTCTCTCTCATTCTCTCTGTCTCAAATAAATAAATAAAATCTTTAAAAAAAAAATTTTTTTTTTCTTAAGACAAGAACCAATGCAACAGTTTTAAAACACACCAGAAGTTCCTAGATTATCCTATTTTATAGTCATGTACATATTGAGAAACCGGTAACTTTTCAAGCTAAGAAAATCGGGATACCACCAATATCTGGATTGTATTTATTTATCATGGAATTTCTTATACCTGCTACCACAGTTAATGTGGAATAGTGTTTTATGTAGATCATCAAGTAGACTTAGTGAAGAAGCCTTTTATTTGAAATATAAAGAAAAATATTTAAAATTTGATAGATGTCTCCTTAATGCTGCAGTGGTAATAGGTTTGCTGGATTTTATACTCTAAAACTCTATATTCTGGGGACGCCTGGGTCGCTCAGTCAGTTAAGCGTCTGCCTTTGCCTGGGGTCATGATCCCTGGGTCCTGGGATCGAGTCCCGCATCGGGCTCCTTGCTTGCCTGCTTCTCCCTCTGCTGCTGCCCCTGCTTGTGCTCTCTCTTTCTCAGACAAATAAATAAATAAAATCTTAAAAAGAATAAGTAGAACTCTGTATTCTGTTTAAAAGATGATCCCTTGTATTGTTTATGATAGATTATTATTTTTCGATTATTTTACTTTTTTTTGGATTATTTTAGGTTATTCTTATCTTAATCAATATCACTGTTGAAAGGTATTAGAAAAAATATTAGAGGGTGCCTGGGTGGCTCAGTCGTTAAGCATCTGCCTTCGGCTCAGGTCATGATCCCAGGGTCCTAGGATCGAGTCCCACATCGGGCTCCCTCCTTGAGGGGAAGCCTGCTTCTCCCTCTCCCACTCCCCCTGCTTGTGTTCCTGTTCTCGCTGTCTCTCTCTGTCATATAAATAAATAAAATCTTTAAAAAAAAAATTATTAGAAAGAGAAACTGAAACTCATAGATTTTTGTTTTACTTCCTCGTCGTCATGCAGGATGCCTATGTTGTGGGGCACTGAATGCCATTCCCATAGGAATGATCGTACTGTGAGGGCTGGCCTAGTTAAGAGCTAGACTTGAGGGCCAAGATTCATAATGAGGAGAACCTGACAGATATTTTATTGTGGAGGGACTGCAAAAGCTTCGATGCTTATCTGGGAATTTGGGATAGGCTGAACTAGATATCTGCCCTAAGGTAAACTTTTGGCTAAGTAATCATTGTAAGCTCTTAAACCTTGGATAATTTGGTCATTAGCTTTGTTGAGTACTACTGGGCCACAAAACACCTTTTGACTTATTCCTAGTTTGGATCTTAACATGTTATGGGATAGAAATAAGGTGAAGTCTGGGCTGTCGTATCATTGGGGTCTTCAAGTCTGAATGCATGTGTATGGGACTTTATTTGGGTCCAGAGGAAAAACACAAGCATATAATTTATAGATGTAAACAAAGGGTCTCGAATTTTAACTATGAACTGATTTAAATAAATCTGAAAATAGGACATTTTAATTTTAGCTTTTCTGAATATAAATTCCTTCCTTTGATCAGATCTGTAGTATCTGTATTCCAACAAAATGAAATACCAAGGAAAATTCATTATAATGAATTATATTTAATGTCATTTTCTCATGAATCTTATGATAGGAATTATGTTTATGGGAGTTTGGGACAGGGAAGCAGAATAAAGAAGGCCAAGAAAGAAAAGGGCATGAACCTGGGCAAAAGGTAGAGCAAGTCTTTAGTTGCTTATCTTTAATCTTGCTTTCTGTGATTGAGTGTACTTTTAATAAAGGATTGTCTGGAATCCTGCTTGGTTCAAGATAATTTCCATTTCCTCTGAGCAGTGAAAATCAGTGAGTACAGCTTAGCAATTAGGATAGGATTGATTTTTTTTTTTTAATCTATAATAAGAGGTACAGACCTGTTGAAGAGAGTTGGTAAATTCTTGTTTTCTGGAGGTAACACCTTATCTTTCATTCAAATTTGGGAGTTGGGCACTTGGGATGAGATCTGATGGTGGCCCAAGACTCTTGTTTACAATCCATTATGAAGCCTGGACTGGTGAATCTCATTATCTGTGGCCAGCCTTGGGAATTTAAATTTTACAAAATTGAAAAAAAAAAAACCAAAATTTGTATGAGTGATTTATTAGTTTCTTCCCAGATCTTTGTCTTTTTCTCTCCTATTTTCTCCTGCTCCAATTTTTCCAGCCATCTGGTCTCAATACCTAGAGGCAGCTACATTTTTTTTAGCTGCTTACGTGTTATTTTCCCCTCTTGTTCTAAAAAAAAAAACTTAAAAAATTTCTATAGCTAGTTTTTAAAATTGACATCTACTGAAAATGAGGACTTAGCACCTTTATGTACTCTCTCATCATTAAATTGTGATGTATATGAACATGTAACTGTATATAATGTGTATGTAATCCTTAAATATAATATGTAATAAATGACATATAATAAATTTATTATAATTTTTGTTTAAACTAGTATTTTTAATGTTTGTGTTATTGTGAGAACCAAATAAGTAATGATTATATTTCCTTTTTTATATGACTTTTTGAGTTTTGTTTGTTTGGTTAGTAATTTCTTTTTAACCTGCTACTTTTCTGTTGCTATGATTATTTCTGCTCTGTTAACAGAACCAGAACTCCACTCTGTGGTCAGATACATCAGGAAATCTGTCAGTAAAGTTTTAAGTTTTTTTCTCCTTGGCTATCTTCTTGAAACCCTTTATCTTCTTGGCTCTAATTTAAGCTGGTAGCTTCCCTTCACCATCATCCTAGGGAATTTACTTTGTCTCTGCCCTACAGCAGATCTCCCTTTTCCTAGATCCCAGGTTTTGTTTTGTTTTTTGAGACCTTACATGTCTGAACATGTATTTATTCTCCCTTGCCTTGATATTATACCTGGGTATGGAATTACTGCTTGAGAGCATTTCCTTCAGAGACTTGAAGGCACTGACTTCATTGTCTTATGGTTTCCTCTGTTGCTATTAGAGTTTAAAGACATTTTGATTGTCAGCCCTTTTATAACGTTTTCCTCTTCTGTAATATTTCATAAGCCTCTTTTTCCTCATATTCTGAAATTGACCATACCTTGATGCATATATATATTTTTAATGTACTTTGTACTCATTAGGTCCTTTAATTCTCAGGATTGGTTTTCTTCAGTCCTGGACATTTTCTAGTTTTATTTATTTGATAATTTCCTTAATGTGTTTTCTGTCTTCTACAGGAACTTCTGTTATGTTGGATGTTGGACCATATAATTTGATTCTCTTATATTTTTTCTCTTATTGTCCTGCCTCCTTTCTACCCTCACCCATTTTTCCTTTTTGTTCTAAGAGATGTCCTCAATGTTACCTTTTAACTTTTTACTCAGTATTTCTGCTTTCAATTTTGTAATTTCCAAGAGCCTTTTTTGCTTTTTAAACAGTATATTCTTTTTTTTTTTTAAGATTTATTTACTTTTTGGAGAGAGAGAGAGAGAAATGTGTGAGCAGGGGGAGGGGCAGAGGGGGAGAAGAAGCAGACTCTGTGCTGACGGGGGAGGCTGATGCGGGGCTCGATCTCAGGACCCTGTGATCACAACCTGAGCTGAAATCAAGAGTTGGACACTCAACCGACTGAGCCACCCAGATGCCCTGAAAACAGCATATTCTCGTTTTATGTATGCAGTGTTTTTTAAATTAATTATTAATTTTTTTCTCAGTTTTAATTTGTTCCTGGCATTGTTCTTGTTTATTCCTCAATCTTTTTTTCTGACAGTGATCTGTGGATGTTTATTTTACAATAGGAGTACTAGAAATCTAATCGCAAAAAGCAAGCTCTGTGTGTATGGGTGGGCAACTCAGTAGTAGGTTTCACTGTAGTTTGCTAGCAGGCTTAACTTCTCCTTGGTGGAAAACTGTTACTATATTATAGGTTCTTTGGTTACCATATTATATAGTTTCTTTCTCAGTTATTCTGTTGATAAGTTTTCTTATTGACTCTGTTGGGAGGTGGGCTGGGGATCCTGTTTTCACTTTGTTGATTTTACTTAATACTTGTTTTCAGTTTGTTACCTTAACCTATTCTTTGTAAGTTTACAGCCTTTTGGGATCAGTCATTGCAAAGTACAAGTATCTAGTCTCTTGCCTGGGTCAGTGAATGGTTCTGATTGCTTTGTACAGTAGCCCCCCACCCCTTATCCCCAGGGGAGATAGTCCAAAACCCCCAGGGGATGCCTAAAACTGGGTACTACCGAACCTTATATATATATATATGTGTGTGTGTATATATATATATATATATGTATATATATATATATATATACACACTATGTTTTTTCCTATATACACATATCTATGATAAAGTTTAATTTATAAATTAAGCACAACAACTAATAAGAAAATAGAACAATTATAATAATCTGTAATAAAGGTTTTATGAATGTTGTCTCTCAGAATATCTTATACTGTATTCACCCTTCTTGTGATGATGATATAGGTGATAAAATGCCTATGTGATGAGATGAAGTGAGGTGAATGATGTGTGTATTGTGACATACTGTTAGGCTACTATTGACCTGATGATATGTCAGAAGGAGGATCATCTGCTTCTGGGCTGCAGTTGACCACAGATAACTGAAACCACAGAAAATGAAATTGTGGATAAGGGGGGGACTACTGTGTATAAATTTTCCCCATTGCTGTGGAACAAGCTCTCTTTTACTGGACGTCCTTTATATAAGTTATTTAGACTTTGAAGTGAATCTCAGAATTTTAGAGTTATTAGGCAGTACAGATTCCTTCCCTTGTTTGAGCAGATCTCTAAGAAGATCTGTGAGATCTATATCCTAGGAATCGGGTTGTCATATTATGGCTTATACCTTTGAATAAATTAGATTGGGTATAAACATAAGAATCTGTATGGCTTCGTTAAATGTATTGGGTGGTTTCTGTTTTATCAGAGTATATGTTGATAACTTGATTTCTGAAAGATCTGTTGATATTAGGGTAAATTCATCAGAAATTAGAAACTTGCATATATTTTACTATCATTTGAATAATATTCTTAATCTAGATTTAAAATTCATTATTAGCAAAAAATAAAAAAGATAAAAAAATAAAAAAAAGTAAATAAAGTTTAAAAAAAATTCATTATTAGCAAGTTTTTTGTTACCTGTAGTGGGACTTAGAGATCTGTTTAAACTTTTGAAATAACTTTGCAAATGAAATTCATAACTTGGTAACTAATTGTTGTAAATAGTAGATACTAGTTAGGGTTCAATATTTTTAAGATACAATAATTTGTTTTTTTAAAACTATTCTAGGTAGAAGAATACATGTTCACTTTTAGTGAACAAGAGCATGTTCCCAAACTCAATTTTGGGTCGCCCGCCTTTCACCCCAAACCATCAACAACATAATAACTTCTTCGCCCTGTCACCAACTCTTTATTCACACCAGCAGCTTATAGATGCACAGTTCAACTTTCAGAATACAGAGTAAGTACGGTGATATTTTGGTCCATATCATTTATAAATTTTGTTTCTACTTGACACAAACCCTTTTTATATGAAACATTTAAAGTTAAAATGTCATTGTCTTGTGTTCTTTTGATCAGTGAAATATACTTAGTTTTTATGAAATTGGTTTTTTGTTTTTAAGGTAAAAATGTTTATTACTACTGTTCTTTATGTGTTTTTGGTAGCTTGTCAAGAGCTGTGTCTTTACAGCAGTTGACATATGGAAATGTCAGTCCAATACAGACCTCAACATCTCCGTTATTTCGGGGAAGGAAGTAAGTACTTCTTAATTATTTTAAAAGAAGAGTTGGCATGTCTCAGAACTGTAGATCAGTGCTTCCTGTATTAAGATTGGATGGGTACTATGCCCTAAATTTTATTTTCTGGAACCTGTGCGATCAGTCCTATTGGAGAATTTTAAAACTTCTATATATTTAAAAAATATTAGGGATATTTTTGTTGATTTATTCCTGACACAGCAAATTTTAGATGGAATGAAGCTATATTTCTTCAGGATACTACTTTGAATTGAGATATTAACTAAATTAGATGGTTTTCTGTATTAGTTTGCTAGAGCTACCATAACAAAGTACAACAGCAACAGAAATTTATTTTCTCACAATTCTGGATGCCGGAGGTCCAGAAGATCAAGGTGTTGGCAGGTTTGGTGTCTTCTGAGGCCCCCCTCCTTGGCTTGTAGATGGCTACCTTTTCTGTGTCCTACATGGTCATTCCTCTGTCTGTGTTTTCTGTGTCCTAATCTCCTCTTCTTCTAAGGACACTAGGCATATTGTATTAGGGCTCATTTTAATGACACCATTATAACTTTTTTAAAGGCCAAATGTCCAAAACCACATTCTGAGGTACTGGGAATTAGGGCTTAACTGTAAGAACTTCGAGAGTACACAGTTCAGCCCATAAATACCTTTTTTTCTAGTAAAGTTTACTATTTGATTTATCTAAATCTTATACAGGTAAGGTTCCGTAATAAGTATTAGTAAAAATTTCTGCATGACTTAAAGCTTTCTATAGAGAAATCAGAGTCAGTTAATTTTGACCAATTAAAAGTAATGGATGTATTACAAAGTAATTACAATAGAACTTTAGAGATGATTATTAAAATAAAATTTGGCAGTACTTGTAAGATATTACTATTTAAAGCCTATGTAAATATTCCATACTTTATGTCCAATTAAAAATAACACTAGCTAAGAATTATTTATTTATTTATTTGTTTGTCGGTGAGTGAGAGAGAGAGAGCACGCAAGCAGGGGGAGTGGTAGGCAGAGGGAGAAGCAGGCTCCCTGCTAAGCAAGGAGCGTGATATGGAGCTCGATCCCAGGACCCTGAGATCATGACCTGAGCCGAAGGCAGACTCTTAACTGACTGAGCCACCCAGGCATCCCCCCCCCCTTTTTTTTTTTTGAATTATTGATGACTCATGTAATTGGCATTGTTCTTAGGACTTTACAAATAATTTGATTAAGTTTCACAACACTCTATGAGGTATGTTATTCCTCTTCTGTTGAGAAAGATGAAGCACACAGAGGTTAAGCAACTAGTTATTCGGGTGGAAGCACAATTGGGATTTGAACCCAGGTGGTCTGGCTCTAGATCCTCTGCTTAGAAGCACTGTGAGTTGTTCTTCAAGGTTGTGGAAAGCTATATAATGATGCTAAAAGTATTGACTTTATTCAGATTTTAATTTTTTTGAAGTTGTCTGGATAGCTAACTTGTGAATCACAAATGAAAACAAATTCCATTGGCTCATAGTTATACATATTTTAAAAACTAAAATTGGCATTCTCAGTAGAAGCTATTTAGCATATAAAGCTAAATCACCTTTATGTTAAGCGATATTAAATATACTCTTATGTTGTTAGCATTGTATACCCACTTATTTTGTAGATCAAGGAGTGAGGAATTGGGGTGATCCTAAAGGAGTGTTGTAATGAAAACCTTCAGGTGGCTATGACCCATAGAATTTTAGAGCTTAAAAGCAATCAGACCATTTCCCATGGCCTAAAGTATTATCTGTATGAACAACTTAATATATCAATGAAGTATTTTTTTAAACAAATAATTATTTTTTAATAATTTCCTTTTGCTTTATTATTTTGAAAATTTTATGCCTCCAGAAAAATTTAAAGAATAGTACAATAAAACCCGGTGTGCTCTTTACCTAGACTCATTAAAGTTGTGCTATATTTATTGTTTTTTTGGCCTTTTTCTCTTTAGCCCTACTTTTTTTCTAAACTTTTTCTATGAAAAAGTTGTAGACATCACTTCATTCTACCCCAAAGCACATCAGTGTGTTCCTCCTCATAACCAAGGATCTTCTCCTATATAACCAAAATGCATTTGTCATGCCCAAAAAATTTAACATTAATATATTACTGTTATCTGAAATGCAGTTTTCATATTTCTTTAGTTGCTCATTGTCTTTATAGCTTTTTAATATGATCTTTCCAACTGATGAGCCAGAACGTAGGTGGATTTAAAGAGCCTTTTTATATATATATAGAAATTTATTTATTTATTATTATTTTTTAAGATTTTATTTTTAAGTAATCTCTACATCCAACGTGGGGCTCGAACTCACAACCTAGAGATCAAGAGTCATATGCTCTACTGACTGACAGCCAGGCGCCCCTTAAAGAGCCTTTTAAAATATATAACTTTCAGGTCACTTAATCTTATTCTCCTTATGTTAGAATTTGGGTTTTTATTGTTAGTGTTTCTATGAATAGAAGTTTTCCTACAAAGTTTTCACTGGTGAGATAAAACATTGGGGGTAGTTCAAATGTAGGAGACTAACCCTGATGTACATATGTAGTTTTTTTTTAATATGCATTATTACTATTTGTTTTTCCTAAGGTGTTTTTCTAAGGCATCTTTTGTGCTCACAATGAATATTTTAAGATTCATATAGAGCTAATAATGTGGCCTTGCTGTATTATTAGTCATTATTGGTATTTGTTATTTATATGTTTTTAGTTGTTTTCTGTTTGTTATTAGAAAGTTATATCTTTAATCACTAAGGTATATTGCTTGTTTTCAGGAGATTAAGCGATGAAAAAAACCTTCCTCTTGACGGTAAACGGCAACGTTTCCATTCACCCCACCAAGAGCCAACTATAGTTAACCACATAGTGCCTTTATCAGGTGAAAGAAGATACTCAATGCCGCCATTGTTTCATACACACTATGTACCAGATATAGTCAGATGTGTTCCACCTTTTCGAGAAATACCATTTTTAGAACCTAGAGAAATCACACTGCCTGAGGCCAAAGATAAGGTAATAATAATGTAGATTTTAGTTTTACCTTTTGGGAAGTTAATATAATGTATTAAAAACATCAGAAATACCTAATGTTTTGGATTAAGTAGAATATGCCTTTTTTGCTCTGTTTAAACTATTTAACAGTTTTCTGTCTAAATTGGACTTTTAAAATTTTTTGTTAGCTGTTCTTTTATTTAAGTGCAGCTTTCATATCAGGAAATCAGATTTTCTCTGATTCATAAAAATCTGGATTAGGGCTCAGAACATTTGATTTCTTAGTTTAGAGAACTCTGTTACTTATTTTTATTACAGAGAAACACATTTTCATGTGGTTATTGTAATAAAGTGTCAAAAAGCATTTTCTCTTGGGATATTTGTGTTTGTCATGAGGTTTTTGAATGTCAAAAATAGAGAATCCAGGAGTCACTGAGAAACTAATACATTCAGAGTGATAACGATGAAGAAAGATTTATCTAGCAATATTATTTGTGAAAAGCATTTCAAATAAATGAAATGAAGCTGTTAAATAATTTTTGAGAAATGACATTGTCATCATTGGGGAACAATGAGTTATTTAACCACTAACGGAAGCATATCCACCGCCCCACCACCAAAAAAATTCTAGGTAATTTAGAAGAGTTTATAACGTAAATATCTGCATTCTCTTGGCTTGTCTATGGCTTATATTTGCTGTTTTTGCATTTTCAAAGCTGCTCCATTTTTAAGAAATATGACATTTGTAGGCTGAGGAGAATGATCCTGAAGAGTGTAGTGACTTTGTTTTACTCATCTTTGAGTTCCTGGCAACTAGGATAGGTCTGGAATATAGTGAGTGTGCAGAAAATGTTGGGTCAAAAAAAGAACGCTTGCTTCATTCTTTAGTTGTGCTGCTTTTTATTCCTTTATCATTCTTTTTTTCTTTGAGCTAGAACTATCATAAAGTTCATTCTTTTTAAGTGTATGATTCAGTGGTTTTTAGTATATTTGCAAAGTTCTGCAACCGTCACCACTATTTAATTCTAGTATGTTTTCATCATCCCCAGGAGAAATCTTGTACCCAGTAGCAGTCCCTTCCCCATCCCTAACCTTCCCACGCTGCCCCCCCGCCCTTGGCAACCACCAGTTGATTTTTTATCTCTATGGATTTGCTTATTCTGGACATTTCATATAAATGGAATCATACATTATGTTGTATTGCTTTTTTCACTTAGCAGATTTTCAGGGTTCATCCATGCATGTGCCATGTGTCAGTTCTTTGTCTCCTTTTACAGTTAAATAATATTCCATTGTATTGATATATCCTATTTTGTTAATGTATTCATCAGTTGATCAACTTTGGGGCTGTGTCTACTCTTTGACTATTCTGAATAATGCTACTATGAAAATCTGTGTACAAGTTTTTGTATGGACATATTTTCATTTCTCTTGGGTATATATCTAGAAGTGAAATTGCTGGGTTATGTGGTAACTCTATGTATTATTTTCTGAGGAACTGCCAAAGTGTTTTCTAAAGTGGCTACACCATTTTACATTCTCACCAACAGTGTATGAATGTTCCAGTTTCTCTCCATCCTTGCCAGCATTCATTATTGTCTGTCTTTTTGATTATAGCCATCCTGGTGGGTATGAAATGGTATCTCATTGTGATTTTGATTTCCATTTCGCTAATGATTAATGATGTTGGTCATCTTTTCATTTGCATGTTGGCCATTTGTGTATCTTCTTTGGATAACTGTCTGTTCAGATCTTTTGCCCATTTTTAATTGGGTTATTTATTTTTTATTGTTGAGTTGTAAGAGTTCTTTATAATTCTCAGTATTAGACCTTTGTCAGATTTGTGATTTGCAAATATATTCTCCCATTCTATGGTTTGTCTTTTTCCTTTCTTGATGGTGTGTTTCTTTGAAACACAAAAGCTTTTCATTTTAATGAAGTCCAAGTTATCTGTTTTTCTTTGGTTGCTGGAGCTTTTGGTGTCATATATGAGAAACCATTGCCTGATCCAGTGTCACAAAGATTAATGTCTGTGTGTTATTCTGAGAGTTTTATAGTTTTAGCTCTTAGATTTAGGTCTTTGGTCCATTTTGAGTTAATTTTTATATGATATGACGTAGAGGTCCAACTTCATTCTTTTGCGGTTAGTCCAGTTGTCCCAGCACTATTTATTAAAAAGATTCTGTCATTTTTTTGTTACTATGAAGTGGGAAAGCAGTTAGGCAAAATAGCAGGAGGGAGGAAGAGGCAAAGTAAAATGGAAAAAGACTAACTTGAGAAGTTTTGGTACTGTTCCCCCCAGCCCCCCATTCTTTCTCCTTTCTTTGCTTTCTCATTTTAAAGAAACTGTTGTAATACTATAATGTGAAAGCCTGTGGTGTAAATCAAATCCGACCAATTCTTTGAGTGAATATTAAGAATCTTTGACTATATGCGGGTTTTTAATGTATGTATGCAGGCTCATTTTTTATGGAATTTATAAGTATTGAAGCTTTCTATATTTTTGCATGTATTTATATGTTTAATAGTTAACTATTAGAACTAACTAAATAACTACTAGTTCTGCACATAAACTAAATATATGTTGAGTCTCAGTAAATTTAATAACATAATTTATATCAGTATATATTATCTAGTAAAGTATGGTTCCATATCAATAACTTTTTCTTTGCTTAATAGCATAGGAAAAGATTCTCTTAAATCTTAACGTTTGTGGAGTAAGCATTTATTTCAGAAAGATAAGGATATATTTTGTTGTTAAGCCAATTTCTTTGAGAGCTACTCTCTTCTTGCCTAGGTGTAGGGGAAAGAAGGCAAGCAGTTAGTTCTGTGTTCATTCTTTAAGCGAACACTTTTAAAGAAAACTAACATTTATTGATGTCTCTTCTCTTCTAGGCATTCTACATATGTTATGTCATTTAGTCTTTTCAACAACCCCATGACATGGATAGTACCCTAATTTTACTGAGGCTCAGAAAGCTAAATAACTTGCTCAAGGTCACAGCTAGTAAGTGACACAATTGAGATTTGACCCTTGTCTCTGATAATACAAAGAGGAGGAACTTAAGATGCTTAAAATCAAGGGTAGGGAGATGACTTTCTTAGAACTGACTGTAACACCAGGTAATCTGTGGCAGTAGCAGCTAATACTAGTAAGTATCTTTCTTTGCCAGCAGTGTGTTCAATGATTTGTATTGTTTACCTCTGTTTACCTCTGCTACAGTATGAAGTGAATGGGAGCTTCAGTGTGAAATAAAAATGGGGTAGTGGTTTCAGGCCTTGAATGCCACTGAAGGTTTTTGAGTAGAGGAATAGCACAATCAGATTGGCATTTTGGAGAAGATAGTTCTTGTGGTATAGTGGAGTTGAGCTTGGAATAAGGAGGGACTGGAAGATGGATGATTATTACCTTGAAGGCTATTAAATTCATTCAGATGAGACGTGCTGAAGCTTTCAGTTATGGCATATGGTAGTGAGAAAGATGTGAGAGACCATGCATAAGGAAAATTGGTAGAATGTGTGGAATCATTGAATATAGGGGAGAGAGAGAGAGAGGCATTTGTGTCTCCAATGATTTGATTTTGGACTACTAACAGAAATAAGGAATATAGATTTGGGGTATATAAATTAATTGAGGAACTAGTCAAGAACTATTTGTAACCATGGTAAGATTTGTCATTTTTGTGCACTTGAGAAAGCTTGTATTCTGAATATTGCTCACTAAGAATATAGGGCTATGGGAAAATAGAGCTGGAGTAGGCTACTCAAAATCTAAACAATTCTGTAACCAGAACACTATCAAGAGTAATAACTGATGCCTTGGGAAATAACTTGGTTAGACCAGGTAGGCGGCTTAGTATGGCTGGATGCTGCTGCAGGGGATATTAAAAATATACAAAATAGAGTTGGGATACTGCCTTGTGGTGGACATTGAGACAAGGCAGTTAAAAGTGTAGCTCTGAGTCTGTGAGGCTGCTGTTAATAGACACAGAAGGAAATACATCCGCAGAGAGTTGTCTGAGGCTGACGGGATGCTTTATTGAGTGGGAACCGTCAATATAGTGGGAACCCAAATAGGTGGGAACTTATTTTTAGTTGTGTTAGATCTATAAGGACTCCTACTGTGCAGCAGCCAAACTGAGGAATTCTTTTTCTTTCTCATGAATGTTATGATGTAGAATTTCAGCTCCGTGTTCAAATTAACTAACATGTTGAATTGATACCATTCACCTACTTATCAATTGTCTATAAGCTAATTGGTATTGTAGAAAAATATGTTGTAGTTGAATTGGCAGTATATATTTCAGAAGCAAAGCAGGGCCAGAGATATGAATCCTGAAGTCTCCTGTAATGAAATTCTTGGGAGTAGACTAGATTCTGTTTTTATTTATTATTCAACAAATACTTGTGAGTGCTGTTATCTTTGTGCTACAATGTTGTACCACAGTGTTGTGCTAAATATACATGGTCATGGTCTCTTTACCATATACATACAGTATAGTGAGAGGGAGAACCATTAAAGAATGGCCATTCAAATCACAGTTTTATTTATATATTTGTAAGTTCAGTGAAGGAAAATTGCAGTTCTGAGAGAGTGTTTTTGAGGTCAGGGATGGTCTAGAGGAGGTAATGTTTTAGCTGAGATCTGAAGGATGAGTACGGGTTAACTAGTGAAGGAGTGGTGGGGTTGGAGAGAATGCTTCAGAGAGAAGGAACAGTATCTTCGAAGGTCCCACTGTAGAAAGGAACATGGAGTATGCAAGGAACTGAAAGGAGGCCAAGGTGGCTAGAGTTTGGTTGATTAGGGGAGAGTGGCTGAAGTGTGGTAGAAGTGGGGAGAGGGCCAAACTCTAGTATATTATTTTGGTGTTCAACCTAAGAGCAGTGGAATACCATGCAGGGCGTTTTTTAGGCAGGGAAGAGAGGTAAGTTAAAATTATTTTTACTTCACTGTGGAATTTGAACAAGGATAGATGTAGGAAGTTATTGTAATATTCTATTCTGGGTAAAAGGTAGTGGTG